ACTTTGGAAGATTGATGAGAAACACATCAAATCACAAGGGATTATTTATTTGTTTATTTGTATTTAATCTAATGTTAGTGTTTTTGAAACAAATACACTTACTGTCCAGAAAATAATAGCTTTATACATTATTCCTCAGATTCCTGAACAACGCACAGAGGTTTATTTTACAATGTAATTGTTTATTTACAATAAGAAGTGATTCCAGACTTTAAAATTGTATATCTCTATTACATACAATACCCAGCCATGAAGTATGGCAGCACCATAACCAGCTCAGTCCCTCAAACATTCATGTGTAAATAATCATCCATTTCATATGATGGTGTAAATACTTGAACCTGTGAAGTTAAAGTTCAGTGATACGTTAATCCAAATTCTATTTTTACAGGTGTATAATGGAACGTCTGTGGTCTCCAGGGAAACAGCAGCTAACTATCGGTCAGGTGAGTAGAGGAGGCTAAAGACTGACCTGTCGCTCTGTTACTGAATTAGTTATTCTTTTAACACTGAGAGTCTTCATGTTGCCATAAACAAATTATACCTTTGTACAAGGTATAATTTTTACTGTACTGTAATTACTAAATGAAATACCTTTTTTTTTCTTGTACCATTTATTATCATATAAGTATTTTTCTATAATATGTAATCAGGTCAGTAGAGGAGGCTAAAGACTGACCTGTTGCTGAATTAGTTATTCTGAGCACTCACTCTTTTTCTCCCTCACCTCCACACCTCTCTTTTTCTATCCATTTTATCAAGTTATGAACACAAACCATGATGCTGTAGGCTTGTTAACTGACTAATCTTGCTCACCATGTAGTTCTACTACATGTCTCTGATCTATGACTGTGCATTACCCATATATTATGTATGTAAAAAGACGAGTTGTGTGACAGATCAGGGAGCAGAGGGGTGAGTGGAGTTATGTTTTAAGTCTTCATGTTGCCATAAACCTTTTCAGAGAGTATCAACACAAGTGGACCATTACTGTTTTTTCAAGTTTGGAGTAAGATTAGTATGTCATCTGATCTTATGAGAATACTCACAAAAAAGAAAGGCCAATCCAAATAGATGAGAAACAACAATGCTGGCAGTGAGTGAGAGACCATTTCTGCTCGGATGATTTCTTACTGAATTTACTATTACTAGAAAAGTTTCCAGTAGTAGGAACAGAACCAGAGTGTGACAAAGTTCTTCTGTGTTGCTGTTCTTGAATTGTTTGTATTTTACTGGCTGACAGCTGGTGCAAAATAATGGAGGAAGGATTTTGGAAAGATTTGGGGGATTTTTTGGAAAGTGAAATCTGAATTCCATCAAATCTACACCAATGTCACAGCATTGCACACTGAGTTGTAAAAGACTGCTTCTGCATGCCATGACGATGCTAAATATTTGAAATATTTTGTGCTGCATTCACATTTTGCTGTAAGTCTACCAGGCAATTTCTTTCTACGCTACAAAATGGGTAAATATGGGGGGCATTTAGTCAAAAAATAGTCTGCCTAATGAAGTAGGCCAATTAATTCTCTCATATCAGAATGTATTTCTGCCTGTTATTGCCTTCTTTCATTTTGTAAAGCAGATACATTGCTTCTTTTAGAATGATGTTGGACTTTGACTTTTTTTTGCTTACTAGCTTTACGACTGTAAAGCTACACTAACATTAGAATACGACTGTAAATCTACACTAACATTAGGATACGACTGTAAAGCTACACTAACATTAGGATACGACTGTAAAGCTATACTAACATTAAGATACGACTGTAAATCTACACTAACATTAGGATACGACTGTAAAGCTACACTAACATTAGGATACGACTGTAAAGCTATACTAACATTAAGATACGACTGTAAATCTACACTAACATTAGGATACGACTGTAAAGCTACACTAACATTAGGATACGACTGTAAAGCTACACTAACATTAAAATACGACTGTAAATCTACACTAACATTAGGATACGACTGTAAAGCTATACTAACATTAGGATACGACTGTAAAGCTACACTAACATTAAAATACGACTGTAAAGCTACACTAACATTAGGATACGACTGTAAATCTACACTAACATTAGGATACGACTGTAAAGCTACACTAACATTAAAATACGACTGTAAAGCTACACTAACATTAGGATACGACTGTAAATCTACACTAACATTAGGATACGACTGTAAAGCTACACTAACATTAAAATACGACTGTAAAGCTACACTAACATTAGGATACGACTGTAAATCTACACTAACATTAGGATACGACTGTAAAGCTACACTAACATTAGGATACGACTGTAAAGCTACACTAACAATAGGATACGACTGTAAAGCTATACTAACATTAGGATACGACTGTAAAGCTACACTAACATTAGGATACGACTGTAAAGCTATGCTAACATTAGGATACGACTGTAAATCTACACTAACATTAGAATACGACTGTAAAGCTACGCTAACATTAGGATACGACTGTAAAGCTACACTGACATTAGGATACGACTGTAAAGCTATACTAACATTAGGATACGACTGTAAAGCTACACTAACATTAGGATACGACTGTAAAGCTATACTAACATTAGGATACGACTGTAAAGCTACACTAACTCATAACTAGATCTAACTTAGATAACTAGGTCTGAGATCAGTAAAACACAGCTTGAATTTTAACTACAAACTTGGAGTCGAACAAAATAACAACCTCCTGAATCTACAGGACAGTGTGGAGGAGACCTCAGAGAAATGACCAGCATGACAGGTTAGTTTTTAAAATCATTGGTGCTTCACTAAGAATATACAGCAAAAATATAGACACAGAAACGTATGATCGCTGTTGTGGAAAACGCTTTTTATTTTTTGCAAAATTGTAAACTCCAGTTACTCTTTGAACAGAAGTGTTCCAAAAGTACTTCAAAAAAAAAATCTTGTTCCATTATCGTCTGTTACAACTCCAGAACTTTTTGGAGAGATGAGATTTTGTTCCTGACAGTGAGGCTCTGTTTCCTGCCTTTTCATAATTACATAAAGAAACAGATTTATAGTAAATCATATGAACAGAATAGAACAGAATATACTAGAGAAAGGTATGATAAATATACAAGAATGGAATGGACTTGCAGTTGGTTTGAATAGAGTGGAAAGAGTAAACTCAGAGTAAAAAAATCCTACAAGGTTCTTGGACATAGGAACATATGGTTCAAGCAAAAACCATTAATCAGTGTAGAACCTTTACATTATGTGGAGGTTCTTCTCACTCGCACATCTCATTTACAAGCCTGGTTCTTTAAAGAACCATCCACTAAAAGGTTCTTTAGGGAATCATATGTTCCTAATATCCAAAGAAATATTTTGGCACCTTTATTTTTTCAAATGTAGCTTGAACCAAAAATCAAGTAAAAAATAATGATCAACTTGGTTACTTTGGTGAAATAATGAATGCAGTAAAAATACCTTTATGAAAAACAACCTGAGTAGAAATACAAATATAGCAGCTCAAAAAAACGACTTCAGTACTGATTCAGTAATAATTTCCCCAAACAGAGAAAACTACTCTGCATAACTTTAAACAGACGTAGCAAAATGTAGCAGAAGCAAAAAAACCACACTTGAATTCAGATCTGATTGTCACATTAAGGTCACATGGCCACGAATCTGATATGTATTCAATCTAGAACCACATGTGGAAGTGTCTCAGAGCAGATTTGAAAAGGTCAGACTGGTGTGTCCACACAGCTCTGAGTAAATCAGATGTTTTGCTGAGCTATTACTGTAAGACACAGATTATGAGGATCTTCTTCTCTGAGTGCTGGTGTTGATGTGTAACAGTAACAGCCTCCTCTGCTGAATCGTCTCACTGAGAGTCAGAGCAGTCGCTTCTCTCTGACGCTGTAACACACACAGAGTCTAATTCATTATCAGAAACAGAATCAAGACGGTATTTAAGGCCTGCTCTGAAACAACACTCTTAATGAGGCATTTATCGAGAGCATTTGCTGCTGCTACATGAACAGTGCACAGATGAACACAGCTTCATGTCACATACATATCATTTTGCCTTATAAGTGCAAAAAAGGAGCAAATTCATTTATGACCTTGTCAAATAAGCATGTAAATGTGTTATTGTGGCATTATTTTCACTGCTCATAAATCAGAAACTTTTATTATGGCAGGACTCTGGTAAAGGAGCACAATAATTATTACCACAATGTGATTTAATATTTATTCATTAGACCAATAACTAATGAATGATCTCTGAAAATGTTGTGCATCCAGCACTGATAGTGTAGTTTGTGTCTAAGTCTGAATATCAAACTTATTGATTTTGCCTGATTTGTAGCCTCAGACTCACTGAATATATTCATGGTGTGTTGAACAGCATGTATTAAGCAAAATCAGCAGCTACTCAGCAGGCCTTCAGTGATTTACACCAAAGCACCAAACTGTGTTTATGAAGAAAGAGAGAAACACAGCCAGATTTGGCAGAGAGACATTCTTTACATTCCATCTTGCTGGAAAGTAAAAAAATATGAATATGAATGCATTAGGATATGAATGTAAAGTTATGCTAACATTAGGATATAACTGTAAAGCTACACTAACATTAGGATACGACTGTAAAGCTACACTAACATTAGGATGTGACTGTAAAACTACACTAATATTAGGATACGACTGTAAAACTACACTAATATTAGGATACGACTGTAAAGCTATACTAACATTAGGATACGACTGTAAAACTACACTAATATTAGGATGTGACTGTAAAGCTACGCTAACATTAGTATATGATTGTAAAGCTACACTAACAATAATATATTTACATTCTAATTGTCATAAATCTTATAAATCAATAATGCTTTTAACAGACCAGTTTAGTAACAGATGATCTACAGAAGATCAGACTGTGGATGTGTTTGTTCTGATTGGTGTGGATTCAGTGTTCAGTGGATGTTTCCTTCATGAACAGGTGATGATCTCACCTCCAGCTGTGGTCAGTCCTGCAGTCTGAGCCAGTCTGTCTTCACTGAGCTTCTGACCATCATTCTCCTCATCGTCAGCTGAGACAGAAGGAGAAAAGGGACTGATTCAACTGTGGCAATGACTTTCAAACATGAAGCATAATTTATTCAGGTTTTAATGGTTTTGTGAGTTAAATGAAAATATCTTTTAACATTGCATTAATTAGTAATGAACCAATTAGTGACAACTCTCTCTTTTTAAATGAATGAATCTACATAAAACCATTTTATTTCAAAATAATATTTTGAGAAAGAGCTAAAAATGAAACGGTGAACGTTACCCAGAGTCAGAGGAATATCCATAGAAGCAATGAATCTTTCTACAATGGAAAATTAAACATTAGTGAGGAGCAGCAGTAAATATGAAGAATATTCAATTTGATCAGATTTACAAGTGTGGAAATGTGATCATTTTTATTATATGTGAATGTATTTGAATTAAATGTAAATGTAAAGAGTTTGATATGAGGCTTCATTTCTTGTTTACATAAGTACCAGATATAACAACAGCACAGAAGATGTGGATATAAATCACTCTGAACTGACACTTTTCCCTTATAAACCCCAAAATAACAGTGGACAGAGCGGTTTACTAAAAGTGTAAACTACACTCTTAAAGAAGATGGTTCTTTGAGGGTTCTTTAGTAATGACAACCGCTCTGTATGGAACAATGAACACTCATAGAACCATTTTCATGCTTAAATATTTCTCTGCATGGTGAAATGGTTCTTCAGACTGATGTGTTGTACATGGTTCTGTATAGAACCTTATATAAAGTGCTTACAGTTTCTCAAAGAAATCTGTAGACACACCTACAAAGTTCAGTCTGAGAAGTTGGTTTATTATCTTCTTCTTCTCACCATCCAAATAATCTCATCCTGTCCAAAAAACTTCACTCTACATCTCAGAGGTCCTGTTTCTGTGTTTTAGTGTAAAACAGTTTTGGTGGACCATCAGCTCCTGTACAGTTTGTATTTCCCAAGTTATTCTTCAGTTATAGATGCGTGTAATAAAATGTGATCCTGGCCAGTTAAGGGGTTAATGTGTAATAACTCTTTATGAATTATATTTAAGGTGTTAACCCTAATTAATAAACATTAATAAACTAATTTAAACCATTCTTAAACCCTGTATAAGGGTGGCCTTGTTGTAAAGTGGTACTCTGTCCTTCATGCATATTTTAATTCAGAAGTATTGTTTATTTGCTGAATTTAACATACTGAAGGGGAAAAAAAAACATTAAATGGCCTGTCTAAAAGTTATAGCACAATTTATATTTTGCTTTATATTTTTCATATAGGTTAGTCTAGGCTATTGAAGTGTGTACGCTGTTTTTTATTTATACTCATTTTCACTTAGAAAATCAACACAACATGGAATTTGACAAGGAGTGTTCAAACTTTTGCATAACTCTATATTGTACCTTAGTTAAATGTGTAGATTGCATTATAAGTTTATACTGTACTAAAGTTATGACAAGAAATACTGACACTTTTGTGGTTTTTCATCCAAACAACTAACAAATTGCTATAAATTAATTTGATTCACTCCAGCTGAGATGGTCAAAAGTAACTTTCTATAACTGTTTATTATTAATTTTCCACCTTGAAAAGCAATCCACACAGCTTCACTGCAATTTCACTGTGTGGTCGTGTCAATGTAGCAACACTAAATACTAAATACATTGTTGCATTTCTTCATGATCCATTTATGTTTTGGTGATAATGTATAGATTTAAAACTTGAATATTGCACCACTGGATGTTGAAGCTACATTTGGATGTTCCCATAACGCTAAAATAAATAAATAAATAAATAAATAAATAGAGAGAGAGAGAGAGAGAGAGAGAGAAAGAGAGAGAGAGAGAGAGAGAAAACTAGGCCCATCTGTTTTGATGTAGCAAATTTTCACATATTTTCTGAGCTCTACAATCTCAGAAAAGCCTACTGCAATCATCAGATAATGGTCAGATGATTCAAACAGAAAGTTAATAATGAAATATAGAACTGAATCTTGAGACTTTAATACAGAATTAAGAGCTGAAGAACTGAACCTGGACTCAATAATAACTATAATAAAGATAAAGTCACCTATCACTGCCGGCTGCAAAGAATCCTGGGGATTTGATTCAGCACTGTGGTCACCTTCCTCTCCCTGCATCTCTGAAAGAGTCATAAACACTCATCTCTACAATCTCTACAGCACTGTTACTGTAACATTAATAATACTGATGTAGTTTAATTGTTCTACACTACAATAAGTACATAGATTTACCAAATGCAGGGAGAGAGATGGTTCTAGAGCCAAGCTGCCCTGTTAAAGACAGAGAACAGAACCACATACAGTGGAAAAGATACTTCACTGTTCTGTCGAGTCAGAAAAAAGAGGCAGATCATAGCATACAGCATACAAGCATTTATGTCACAAAGCCCACAGATCAAAAATGCTGTAACAGATTAATTTCCTAACAGATGATCTACAGATCAGATCAGATTATGAATGTCTTTGCTCCTATTAGTGTGAATTCAATGTTTAGCAGATGTTTCCATTATGAATAGTTGATGGACTCACCTCCAGCTGTGATCAGTCTTGCAGTCCGACTCAGTCTGTCCTTACTGGCCACAGTCATCCTTGTCTGACCATAATCATCATCTTCACCAGCTGAAAAAATGAGGGGGACTAGATTTTTAAATTACAAATATGATTTCGTTTCCTTCAGTTTTCATGGTTATTTTGAATTCATATTTATCACTTAAACATACATCAACAAGCCAAAACATTATGACTGAAAAAGCTGTTTATTCTCTGCATGCTGCCAAAACAGCTCCTGTGGGATCTGACAGGAAAACATTAGCAGCAGATCCTGTAAGTCCTGTAAGTTGTGAGGTAGAGCCACTGCAGATCAGAGGCATATTCCAACTCCATCAGACTGAGATCTGGAGAATTTAGAGGCCAAATTAACACCTTCAACTTTTTGTGTTCTTCAAACTATTGCTGACCAATGTGTGCAGTGTGGCAGGGCACATTATCCTGCTGAAAAAGGCCACTGCCACTGGGGGATACCATCAACATGAAGGGAATTGGGAATATTATTGCCATGAAGGGGTGTACCTGGTCCACAGCAATGTTTAGGAGGGTTGGGAATACTATTGCCATGAAGGGGTGTACCTGGTCCAAAATAGTGTGTAGGAGGATTGGGAATACTATTGTCATGAAGGGGAGTACCTGGTCCACAGCAATGTTTAGGGGGATTGGGAATATTATTGCCATAAAGGGGTGTACCTGTTCCAAAACAGTGTTTAGGAGAATTGGGAACACTATTGCCATGAAGGGGAGTACCTGGTCCACAGCAATGTATAGGAGGATTGGGAATACTATTGCCTTGAAGGGATGTACCAACTCCACAGCAGTGTTTAGGATGATTGGGAATACTATTACCATGAAGGGGTGTCCCTGTTCCACAACAGTGTTTAGGAGGATTGGGAATACTATTGCCATGAAGGGGTGTACCAACTCCACAGCAGTGTTTAGGATGATTGGGAATACTATTACCATAAAGGGGTGTACCTGTTCCAAAACAGTGTTTAGGAGAATTGGGAACACTATTGCCATGAAGGGGAGTACCTGGTCCACAGCAATGTTTAGGAGGATTGGGAATACTATTGCCATGAAGGGGTGTACCTGGTCCACAGCAATGTTTAGGGGGATTGGGAATATTATTGCCATAAAGGGGTGTACCTGTTCCAAAACAGTGTTTAGGAGAATTGGGAACACTATTGCCATGAAGGGGAGTACTTGGTCCACAGCAATGTTTAGGAGGATTGGGAATACCATTGCCATGAAGGGGTGTACCTGGTCCACAACAATGTTCAGGAGGATTGGGAATGCTATTGCCATGAAAGGATGTACCTTGACCACAGCAATGTTTAGGAGGATTGTGAAAACTACTGCCATTAAGGGTGTACCTGGTCCACAGCAGTTTTTAGGAGGATTGGGAATACTTTTGTCATGAAGGGGTGTACCTGGTCCACAGCAGTGTTTAGGAAGATTGGGAATACCATTGCCATGAAGGGGTATACCTGGTCGACAACTGTGTTTTGGAAGATTGGGAATATAACTGCCATGAAGGGGTGTACCTGGTCCACAGCAGTGTTTAGGAGGATAGTTCTGATAGGTGGCACATTTCAAATTGACGTCCACATGAATGCCTGGACACAGAGTTTCCCAGAAAAACACTGCCCAGAGCATCACATTCCCTAAGCTGGCTTGTTTTTTCCCCACAGTGCATCCTGGTGCCATCACTTCTCCAGGGAAACCCTACACAGGCTGTCCATGTAAAAGTGTCATATAAAAGTAAATGGGCCTCATCAGAGATGACCTTCCTCAATCTCACACTCACATGTCCATTGTAGGAGATTTTTGATGGTGGGGCACTCTGGCTGGTCTGTGGTTATGCAGCCCCATACACAGCAGGTGTGTGTGATTCATGGTGTGTTGTGATACAGTCCTCCTGTAAGCATCATTAAATATTTCTGTGATTGTTCCACAGTAGCCCTTCTGTCAGTTTGGAACAGGCAGGATCGCCTTTGTTGCTGTCACGCTTTGATGAGCCTTAGACACCGGACGCCCTTTCACCGGTTTGTGGTTTGTCCCTCCTCGGACCACTTCTGGCAGGTATTCTATTCACCACTCCTGACTCGGAGCACTGGGAGATCCTCCAACCTGTTGATCTGACCATAATGTTTTGGCTCTTTTCAAAGTTGCTCAGGGCTTCACACCTGCACATTCTGCCAGATCATGACATGTCATTGTTATGACATAATCTACATTGTTTGCTTCACCTGTGGATGGACATAATGTTGTGGGTCCTTGGTGTATATATCCAGAGGCAGAACTGGTGGGGAACACAGATGTGACCTAAGATAATGTAACTACAGTAATGTAAATGACACATTATGTTAGAGCTGGTTTGAGGTCCAGTACAGAACATGTGGCCATGTATTGAGGAGATGAGACTGTCAGGGTCCCAACACTCACACTAATTGGCATGAAATTGAAAAATCATTAAAAATACAATTGACATTTTAACTTTGTTCAAAGTTATTCATTCAATGTCTGCAGCTTAGTATTACAATGTCAAAAGGTTTAGTCTTTACTAAACTTGAAAACTGTCTTAAATAAAGGTCCCTGATCAATAATCATGACATATGAAGGACTTTTGCTGAACTCTGACTTTCTGTCATTGATCTGTTGTCTGCAAAAAGACCTCATTAGACCTAATTGAGCTGAAAGTTCTTGGACCCCTGAATGACCACTTGATTCTACTCCACTATTTCAAATGAAATTGAATTTATGTACAAATGTGTTCTTTTTCATGAAAAAATGTCGCCAGTGTTGGTTTTGTGACCGTTCAGATACCATCAAAACACTTTTTCTGCTAAAGTTGAACAGACAAAAGGACAAAAAAACATTACCAACAAATTCTGTTTCCATAGCCTACACCACCCAACTTTTAGAGACATTAAAATGTTTTTGCAAAAAATCCTTCAAATGGAAATATTCAGAGAGAAATTTTGTTCACTGTTCTTGTGCATATGGTACCTCACGTTTTATACGGCCGACTTTCTGCACAGTGCGCTAGGTTAAAAACCATCAACTTGAAGCGGTAGCCTATGCGTCAGCCTCCAGTAAAAACACAATGTGTTAACACATCCTCTACAGAAAACAGACATTGCACATTTATTTTTAAATTATTTTTTTCCAACATGTTAAGCTCAGTAAATAAATAGAAAGCGTGCAGTAAAATTGCCATATTTAAGTGTGTTCCCTGTAGAGGTATGGTATCTTATTTTCACGTCATTTACCCAGGAGTGTCCAAACGTTTGCATATGACTGTATCTTGATATACTGAAAATGTAATAACAATGAAATAAGTACCATTACCCAAGGTTAGAGGAATGTCCATTGAAGCAGCGAATCTCCCTATAATAAAGTAAAAAAGAAGTAAACATGACGGTAAGAATATAAAATCTGCCTGATCAGATTCATGACTTTTGGAATGTGATGATTTATTATCATTGATATTTGAATGTGGTAATGTTTATGATTTTAATGAACGAGATCATTTCTTGTTTAGAGAAATCTGACAGCAGTACAGAAATATGAAAAAAGGATTTTTCAGTAAGAACATTCTTTTCATGTTGTAGTGACCCCTGTGGTGATAAAGTGAAGTGAGCATAAGAATAAAACATAGCAAAACTGAACTCACTCTTCGTTTGGTCTGCATCTCCTCCATCCTGATCTTCATTCACCATCACTGAAAAATGGGAGAAGATCATCAACATGATCCTCCTCTTACTGAACAATGTGTATCTTCAAATTCATTCCTTAATTAATACTAATATTAATAGTATGAGGAAGAAAAAGAAGAAAAAGTGACCTAAAATATGATCAGATCTTCATTTAATTCATATTAATACATAAAAAGAACAACACATAACATAAAATACTATGAGGTTTTTGATTTATTTATTGAACTAAATAACATTAAATGTCTTTGTTGGCAAAAGCATGTGAAACTCTGCTGTCAGGGACTGGAGTTATGCCCTTGAGCAGCCATGACTTCAACCCAACCGTTCCTGTAACTGTTGTTCAGCCCTTCACATTGACTCTGAGATGTTTTGGCCAACCTTCTGTTGAGCTTCAGTTCACGGAGGCCCTAATATTCAATTGTAGAATTTCTTGGCATAAACCATAATTCATAGCTTCACCAAATGGTGGCAAACTGTCCTGGTTTCATAGCAGCAAAACTGCCACCACCATGTTTCACAGCTGGGATGAGGTTCTCATGCTGAAATGCAGCATTTGGTTTTACCAAACATATCTCGCAATTCACGCCGTAAAGATCCATTTTTACCTTATTCATCTACATAATATTATTTCAGTCTTCTGGCTCATCCAGATGGTCTTGAGGAAACACAGGGAGAAAGGTTCTTCCTGGAGGGTAGTGGCTTTCTTCATGCTACCATTCCGTATGTTCTGTTCTTCACTGTCTGCCTGACAGTAGATCGGAAGTCCAAACTCTTCAGAAATAGTTTTGGAACCTCTTCCAACCTAATGAGCTTTGGCCAGTGTTTTTCTAAGATCCTCAGAAATCTCATTTGACTAGGATGTGGCTTGCACTAACAAATGTGTGTGGTAAAAACCAGACTGGGATGGTGAAGACTCGGATTGGTGTTTTTTTGATAGGGTAGGGTCAGCCACACTCACACCTGATGGACATCCCACTGACTGAACCTCCTGACCCTCATTATCACCTTTACCAAACTGATAATTCTAGTTGTTCACATACATGCCAACAAAGACATGTTGAATAACTTTGTTCAAAAAATGAATGAAAAACCATATAATTATTTGTATTATTGCTGAATGGCGTTCTTTTTTTCATTCAACAAATGATCTGATCATAATTTTGGTCATATTGATGTAGAAATTCATAAAATCATAAAGGGTTTACAAACTTTCAAGCAGCACTGTATGCCAGGCTGATTTTTGTCTCACCATTTAAATCTTCTCTGTAAGCACTTTTAACTGGAGTTTTCCCAGCTTTTCTTTTTCTCATCTTTTTCTTAATGCGGAAAATAATCGAATTAATCATTGTTGTGTAGAACGTCAGGGAAAACAGATGGTCGAATACATTTGCTGTTTTTTGGACTGTGTACGGATCCCTAATTATGTTTTCCCAAACAATCCAAAACATAATGTGCAAGAGAAGCCATCTGTATCTAGAAATGAACTCATCATCTTCAGTTCTTCTGCTGTCCCTCTCATGGTGATCCAGGTAACCGAGGAGCTCCTCCATACACGTCTGCACCAAATAATCCTTGTAGATTTGACTGAGGCTGGGTGGACTGGTTCGCACTACTTCAACTGGAAGGAACTCACTGTCCAGCACCACACACTGAACGGTGTCCACATTAAAGTGGAGGATGACCTCTCCATTGAGTCTGTATTCAGCTGTAGTGCTCAGTGAGGTCACATCTCCACTAGAGGATCTCTCGACCTCACAGTCACGTCTCTTTACTATGTCACCAGAACCTGAAATACAGATGAAAATCATTCATTTATAGTGTTTTACACACAGCTCACAAAGTTTTAGTACACATGTTAAATGTCATTTTAGCAAGTGAATGAATAGAAAACTGACCATTATAGCTGATCTCCAGAAGGTCAATAAAAACTTCAGATTCCTGTAGAACTCTCTGCTTCTTCATTCTTGTTCTACTCCAGAATCCTTCCATCCATTCTGAAACCATGTTCTCTCCATCAGTCAGGACAGCTGCAGTGAGCTCAGTGTCGTTATTGGTATTGTGGAAAGGACTGAAGTGGACAGTGTGGACGTGGTACAGGTAGAGTCTCTCTGTGGGGTTAACAGCAAAATAATAACCCTTTTTAAAAGTGTCTTCCAAACTAGTTGGTGGTATAGTGTCATATTTATGAGCTAAGACAAAGTGGGCCCAAGTCTTTGAGGTGTGAGTCTGAGTCAAGTCTTGAGTTCCTGAGGTGCGAGTCATAGTGAAGTCTCGAGTCTCTGAGGTGCAAGTTTGAGTCAAGTCTCGAGTCTCTGAGGTGTGAGTCCAAGTCAAGTCTCAAGCCTCTGAGATGCGAGCTTGAGTCGAGTCTCGAGTCCCTGAGGTTCGAGTAGGAGTCAAGACTCGAGTCTCTGAGATATGAGTCAGAGTTAAGTCCTGAGGTTCTGAGATGCAAGTCTGAGTTGAGTCTCAATTCTCTGAGGTGCAAGTCTGAGTTGAGTCTTGAGTCTCTGAGGTGTGAGTCCAAGTTTAATCTTGAATCTCTGGAATGAGGGTCCAAGTCAAGTTTGAAATCTCTGGGGTGTCCAAATCGGGTCCTTTATTTTTGGGGTGTGAATCCAAGTCTAGTCTCAAGTCTTTGAGGTGAGTGTGAGTCCAAATCAGGTCTTAAATTTCTGGGGTAAGAGTCCAAGTGTAGTTTTGACCCATTGAGTCGATTCTCAAATCTCTGGGTAGAGAGTCTGAGTCCAGTCTCTGAGATGCAAGTCCAAGTCTTGATTCTTTGAGGTGCAGGTCTGAGTTGAGTCTTGAGTCTCTGAGGTGTGAGTTTGAGTCAAGTCTCAAGTCCCTGAGGTGCGAGTTTGAGTTGAGTCTCGAGTCCCTGAAGTGCGAGTTTGAGCTGAGTCTCGAGTCCATTAGGTGCAAGTCTGAGTCAAGTCTCCTGCCTCTGAGGTGTGAATCTGAGTCAAGTCTCAAGTCTCTGAGGTGCGAGTCCGAGTCAAGCCTTGAGTTTCTGAGGTGAAAGTCTGAGTCAAGTCTCTGAGGTGCGAGTCTGAGTCTCAATTCTCTAAAGTGTGAGTCTGAGTTGAGCCCTGAGTCTCTGAGGTGTGAGTCTGAGTTGAGTCTTAAGTCTCAGATGTGTGAGTCCAAATTGAATCTCGAATCTCTCGGATGAAAGTCCAAGTCAAGTTTGAAATCTCTGGGGTGTCTCTGGGGTGGACTCCAAATCCTTAATTTCTGGGGTGAGAGTCTGAGACTAGTCTTGAGTCTTTGAGGTGAATGTGAGTCCAAATCAGGTCTTAAATTTGTGGGGTGAGAGTCCTAGTCTAGTCTGGACCCTTTGAGTTGTGAGTCTGAGTCAATTCTCAAATCTCTGGGTAGAGAGTCTGAGTTGAGTCTTGAGTCGTCAGTAGAGAATTTTAGTTTAGTCTCATTATTAACTGCAGGAATTGCTGTGTACAAAAGTAAACCTACTAAAAACCTGTCAGGTTCAGCTTTAGATGAAAAACTTGTAGCTGAAAGAACAGAACTGAAGTTCTACATGGAGTAAATACTGTGTTTAAAAGAAAGAGGCGAAGCACCTCGAAACACCTCGAATCCAGCTGTAGTTTTAGTAAGTTTTAAATAGATATGATCTGTAACACTAAAACTTCAAGAACTTCAAGCTGACAAGCGCAAGTCACACATGTAAGCTGGAAACTAAAGGTTTTGTTCAGGTCCTTATTTATTCCACTCTGATCATGTTTTATTCTGAGGCTATTCAAGTCCAATTTGAGTCGCGAGTCAGTCAGCATAATGTGGAACACAGTGGAATAAATTCAAATGAATATTAAAGCAGTAAAAAGCAACAAAAAGTTGATATGAATTTCTTACATTTCCTCAGCGACACACTGATTCAATTTAATAAACAATCAATAAGATAAACAAAGTACTAGATGATAAGTACAATTAATAGTGAGCTTGTTTGAGGAGAGGTTTAGAACTGATACACATTAAATCACTCCACATTAATTATTATTGGTTATGGTAATGGTTTAATGTTATAACTTTGTGGTTTTATGAGAAATTAAACACTTACTGTCCTGACGGAAATACAAAAAACTTATAATTTCTCAGATGTTTGCACTGTACTATATATTTTTGCCTTAAAATTACCTTTGTGAACAGATGAAGCACTGTGAGCCATCAGAAGCAAAAACAAAGATCTGAAAAATGTAGTGGTCAAAAACAGAATAATCCAGTCACTGCACTGCATCCCTCTTCGCCGGAGTCTGTAACGCAGTCCGATGTATCCTTCCTGTATGTGGGAGCGCCACTCTGCAAACATGTTCTGCAAGGAAACAACTTTCATTATAAAGGTCATCTTTCTGGGTTTAATATGGTCATCATAAATGAAAAAATACAGAACTTGTACTGCATGAGACACTTATGTTTAATCACAGCTGCATCCTCCTAAACATATATGTGTTAAAACTGTACTAAATATAGATAATTAGATATATTTGGATGTTACAGACCATGAGATGCAATAAAGCACAGTTTTTCAGTTTAAAGTGGTACAACATGCATTTAAAACAAACAATACAAAGCTAAGCTGAACTGTCTTCTTGTTCCTGAGTGAGTAGAGCAGTGAGTTAGCACAGATTACGTCTTTTCCCTTTTGTTTTTTACACTGTTTACAGCACCAGGGCCTGTATTACAGAAACTTCCTAACTCTGAAGTCTGATCTGTTTAGTCTCCATGATGACATCAGTAAGAGAGTAGCTATTCCAGAATAACAGTCCCTAACTTCATAATTTCATCATTAACTCCAGATAAGAAAACAGCATCACACAAACATCCTAACTGGACTAAACCTCCTAAATCCTGTCCTAACTTTAGGATGAACCCCAACAGGGTCCTCACTTCTGTTTAAGGTCCGTTTCTATGGTTTTTAGGCAGCTGTGTCAGCAGCATAGTTCACTACCAGCATAATGAGCTCCATTTATTTCTACTGTAAAACGCTGCTTTCACTGTGAGATGATTTTCTTTTCTAACTCTGCGTTTTAAAGATCTCAGACGCTGCAGACTCGATCTCCACCGCCCCTCTGATTACCTTCGTGTGTTAATGTTGATGATGAAATATTACAGTGATGGTGGTGAATAATGAGGAGACGGAGCTGAACGTGTGTCTGTTTATTAGGAGGAGTAACGTTAGCGCGCTCAGCTAAAGCGTTTGGGAAATGGAGACTGAAACTGGGGAGCGGTGACACTCTGATAAACAGCAGGGGGCGCTCTCACAGTATTCACTACCTTACAGTTTATCACACTTTAGTTTTGTTTGACCTTTTTGCGTTGGTGGCATTCGGCCCTCCAATAGGAAGTCAACTGCTATTCCCTCATCCTATAATCAGAATCGTGGCTGAGTGAATGGGGGCGGGTGTTTGAAGATAAAAGGCTGACCTGTTGAACATGTGAACAGAGGAGAGCACTGTGTGTCTGTGAGGCCTTTAGTTTGCTGGCAGTTTAGTGACTTGTTGTGCTGTTGTTATTAAAATTGTAGCTTCGTTTTAGTTACCTTGGCCTCACCTTGTCTCTCTCTCACTCTCTCACTCTCTCTCTCTCTCTCTCACTTGCTCTCTTTGTATCTCTCTTTCTAGCGATGAGTGGACAAGCAGGCTGGGCCGCGCCTTTACATCTGACACGGTAGCATCACTTTGTATAGACACACTAGGTAAGGGGTGAGTGCCGCCTACTGGAATTTGGGCAGGTCAGCTCCTGTTAGGCAGGTTAGAGGTTTTATTATTTACATTGCTTTGGCACCGTCCATACTCCACCACTGCAGCTAGCTTCATATACAATATTCCTACTTTCAGTTCTGTAATTTAGAGCAGATAACACAATCAGATGTGCATGGACACAGTGTTTATGGAGCTATTGACGTTCTATTGTCTGACAGTGTCTGTTGTTAGCATGAACAATTAAAATATGTATTTAAATGAACTGAAACGCTTTGGAGGAAAACAGAGGCGTGTGCATGGATGTGGGCGTGGTCTAGAAGTGCATGCTTTTCCTTCCCATTGAAAAACGTGTCTCAGTTCTGTATCAACACAAAAGAGCGGTATGTTAAATGTCATCCAAACCGCAAAAGAACAGGTGTGCATCACTCTCTGTGGCCGGACTGTCATGAATATGAAGTCTTTACTGACCACCGTAGTCCGATCAAATGTTATTAGCGCCGAAAAGACGAACTTTACCGTGGTTGTTTTTGGTGGGCTAAGAAGAGGTGAACCTTCATTAAAATTAGCATTACACTCTGCTCTGTGGCTGCAGTTAAACCTATATGTACATATGCTTGTATATCTTTATGTTGGAGTATTTCTGTCTATTTATCTAAATCTATAAGCTGTTAATTAGTTGTGTATGTCTATATCTACTTACCCATAACTCCATATCGAGAAAAGCTGCCCGACTGCCTGGCTACGGAAACTGAAAGTGTTGTTTACAGGAAAAACAGGTTGCATCATGGGAAATGTAGTGTCTATAGTGAAATCGCGTTTGAAACCGAAAGTGTTTGCTGGAAAGACACAGCACTATGGGAAATGTAGTGTCTAGCAAAATCAAGGCAAACATTATAGCTGGCAGCTGAAACTACTCCTTTTTTGGATGTAAACCTAATGCCTGTGCTAATAAACTCACACTGTGGTACAACAGTAACGTCTCTTAAGATTTTCTCACCCTGAGCGTAATTTCTGTTACAGTAGGCTGAATTAGTACTGCACAACACAGAATTCCTTTATGTAAGATTTGTGGCTCAGAGTTCAGAGCATAACTAGCTTTCATTACTAGCATTAAGATCCACAAAAGCTCTTACACATAACATACAACTCTGACTATTATTTTTTAAAGGGTAAAGACTGTTGTGTGTTGTATGTGAAAGGGTTTAACACTTTCTCACTGTAGGTTTACGCTGAATTTGAGGAAACTAACAAGAGAGACCCTCCCTCTCTTAGAGCAGAAGAGAGAGACCCTCCCTCTCTTAGAGTAGAAGAAAGAGACCCTCCCTTTCTTAGAGTAGAAGAGAGAGACCCTCCCTTTCTTAGAGTAGAAGAGAGATACCCTCCCTCCCTCTCTTAGAGTAGAAGAGAGAGACCCTCCCTTTCTTAGAGTAGAAGAGAGAGACCCTCCCTCCCTCTCTTAGAGTAGAAGAGAGAGACCCTCCCTCCCTTTCTTAGAGTAGAAGAGAGAGACCCTCCCTCTCTTAGAGTAGAAGAGAGAGACCCTCCCTCCCTCTCTTAGAGTAGAAGAGAGAGACCCTCCCTTTCTTAGAGTAGAAGAGAGAGACCCTCCCTCCCTCTCTTAGAGTAGAAGAGAGAGACCCTCCCTCTCTTAGAGTAGAAGAGAGATACCCTCCCTTTCTTAGAGTAGAAGAGATAGACCCTCCCTCCAACAGAGCAGAAGGTAGAGACCCTCCACCACCCTGAGTTTCTATAGAAATCTTTAAAACTCAATAAAATATTTAGATTTTACTTTGAAATTGAGGCCTCTTTTAGTTTATGTCTTAATAATCTTACTTCATTTCAATAAGCTTTGACAAAATATAGACAACAGTAAAATATAAATACTAGTAATGTCAGTTTTTCTTTAGAGGTCACCGAACTACTACCAAGGTAGAAAGTGCTGCCATCCTGGGATGGTCAACACAACCACTGGACTTCAGAGCAATTACAGAGTGGCAGTGTAAGAAAGGTACTGACCAAAATGAGACTATTTGAGAAACGCAGCACTCAGAAAGTGGGACAGGATTATTAAGGGAGACAACACAGCGATTGAGACTCATACTTGTGTGATGTTTATGTATAGATATGGCTGTGTGGTTGATGAAGCACAGAGAAATCAACAGTGTGATTGTTTTTCTTCTGGATTTTGTATTGAGCTTATTTCATTTAATAAACATTCCAGGGTGTCTTAACTTGATGTGAAGTAGTTATAATATTTTATTCACACTGATTGTTGGTGTTGTGTAAGTGTGCAGTGTACAACCAACAACAATATTTAATAAAGTATTGTTCTTTTAATACAGTCATATATGTAATATTATGATGTCAAAAGAAAATGTAGAAGTTTTATATTTTTATAAGCGTTTGGCCAGTAGATGGTGCCTGAAGTACAGGAAGAAAAACATGCTGGTCCACTGCTGGTCCTGGCCTTCCCAGGGTCCTAAGCAAAACCTGATGTTCACCTGTTCTCACAGTTTTTTCTGATAACACATTTTTAGCATGTAAAGTTTGCAGAAACTACATACAGTATCTTCATCCTCTGCCAGAGTGCAGTAAATCTTTCTTTTAAACCCCATAATCTCCTCCAATCATCAGCTGTAGATCACCCTGTTCACGTTATATTGTTGAGAACATCTTATCCTTAGAATTCAGCTTTTCTACACAGATGATGGGGTAACACTTCACAGTACTGTTTCATAGTTAATAATTAACTAATGAGGAATTCAGCAGGAACGAATGAGTAGTGCTGCATTAACACTTAAGTAAGTACTCTTAAGTACCAAGGACTACTAGTTAACCACTCAGTAGGCAATAGTGAACTAATGATTAATGTAGTTCACTATTAACTAAACAATAACTACGTACAGAAAATAGAAAATTACTTAGTAACTATGGTCTTAGAATAACCACTTTAAATTAATTACTGATTAATTCAACATGAATTGCTCAATAGCTGAATCTGACAAGGTTTCTGCTGAACTGCTAACTGATGTAGTGAATTCCAACACTTCTAACAGTAGTGAAATACACTACACAGTGTTCAGTCTCTACAGTATAATGGATCATATCCTCCATTGCTATTCACAGAAACAGCCTACAAATGGGACCACTGCTACAATACTACAGTATTCAGTAGACCATCCAGCCTCTCATCTTTAGAAAAGAAACCGTTCACTATTCTTTTCTGCAGAAGCACGTGAGCCAGTATTGTTTCTTCTGAACAGTAGTTCTCCTTTAAAGTCCTCTTGAGGGCAGGGTCAGTTAAAGAGAGGGAAATATCTGACTGTGTTCTACCTTCAAATTCACTTGGTTCTAAATATTGCCAAGTGATGATGTAATTAGTGTCCGTTAGATAACGAATGAGGTGTTGCTGTTCTTCATTAGGAGTTAAACATCTACAGGAACAACATTATAAAGTGAAACACATGGTAACTCATTACTGATGAACATGGTGTTACTGTGTTCTACTGAAATACACTGTGTGGTGTATTTCACTACAGGTGGAAAACACCACATCAGTTCACCAGGAACCTTTTAAGACACAGTTGTTGAGCAATTCATGTTGAATTGATCCGTAACATTTTTACACCGTCTAAGAATTTGTCCCATCAGTTAATTCAGTTTAAATTAGCTCACAGGATTTACTGATGAAGCTTTCCATTGACTAAAACTGTAACAGAGGTAACGATTTCTCCAGAAACGTTATTCTTGAATTGTTGCACTATTTGATAGTGCAGTCTTTCACAGAGTGGTGAACTCCTCCTCATCTTTACTTCTGAAAGACTCCGCCTCTTTGGGATGCTCTTTTATACCCAGTCATGTTACTGACCTGTTGCCAATTAACCACCAGGTGTTTTTTTAGCATTACACAACTTTACCAGCCTTTTGTTCCCCCGTCCCAACTTTTTGGGAACATGTTGTTGGCATCAAATTTCAATGGGCAAGTATTTTTCAAAATACAATTAAATTTCTCAGTTTCAACCTTTCATTTGTTGTCTTTGTATTATTTTCAATGACATGTAGGCTTTAAATGATTTGCACATGATTGCATTTTATTTTTGTTTATATTTTGAACAGCGTCCCAACTTTTTTTAGCGTTGTATAGTAGACTTTGTCAAATAAACCTGGAGAAAATAGTTAAAAATAAGCAACCATAACACTAAGTCTCACCGGTAACTGGCAAAAGAGCACAATAATTATTACCAAAATGTGATTTAATATTCATTCATTAGATCTTTAACTAATGAATCATCTCTGAAAATGCAGTATATCCAGCACTGATAGTGTAGTCTGTGTCTGTGTCTGAATATCTGAATGAAACTTCTTTTCTATGTGTTTTATAGATTTTGTCTGATCTGTAGCCTCAGACTCACCGAATGTATTCACAGTGCACTAAGCAGCATATGAATCCACACAGCTACCACATCAGACAGCATCGAGGAAAACAGATAGAAAACTCCAGCACAGCTAATATCTCAGAAACTAATGATGAAATGAGGCTAACATTTCACACACTGACTTCTAAAACCAGAGGCATTATTTCCTCAAAGCATTAAGCAAATTAGGGGCTACTCAGTAGACTTTCAGTGATTCCACAAAAGCACCAAACTGTGTTTTTGAAGAAAGAGAAAATCACACCCAGATTTGTCAGAGAAACATTTCTCACATTCCAGCTTACTGTAAAGTAAAAAATTAATCTCACACTACATACACTGGACTAGATTTGCGTAAGAAGTAGTAACATTAGCAAAGTAAAATAATATACAGTAGAATATTATTTATTAGCAATGCGTACCTTGAGCCTCTTATTGCCAGCTAAAATACCAGGTTTAACATTAAATAACATTTAAACAGTGTAAACATTTTCAGCGTTGGCTTTTGATGTTTACAGTTTTGCTTGTGAGGCAACAATGCAGCCTCTGTAGAGAGCTCATTAAATATTCAGACAGACTGATATTCTCCTCCTACTGACAAATCTGAGCTCAATCAAAACATAACCTGAATTCTAACTGCAAACTAGGAGGCCAACAAAATAACAAATACTGGACCTGGTTGTGTTGGAGTCTGTCAGGAGGACCTTTGTGAAACGACCAGCACAAAGTTTTGTTTTTTAATACTTCATTTTAATCCAAACAAAACAAAACAAAACCACGTTATTCACATGGGCAATAGAATGCAAACAGAAATATAGATTCACTCATGTAGGTAATAGTTTATACAAAATATATATAAATACATGTAGAATACAATACAAAAATGTAAGGTTATGTTCAGAATAGAATCTGCTAGCAGTTCAGCTAAACAGAACAATGTCACCAGTAGTACAACAGTAACAGCTGTACTGAGTAACTTCACACACTGAGTACTTCTTACTACAACAGCATCTCTGTGCACAGGAACTGAAGTCTGTTGTAATATATAAAGCTTAAGCTCCAGTGTGAATGGAGTGATCAACAGTAGAGCAGAACAGGAGCTGATTCAACACAACAGAATGAAATTAAACACAGAAAAGAGAATTAAGAAAAAAAAATTATGACAAAACAGAACTGAGTCAATGGATACTACCCACTTCTGTGTACAGCTGCAGTTAGTAAGGTCATAATAAACTGGTAGGTTAACCAAACCAGAAATCACAGCAAACAATGAAATAAATGCAACAAAAACTAATAAAGCATTTATTTTACTTTCATTCCTGTAGTTTAAATATATCATGTTAAGAGTCTGCTTATAAGGTATAATGTATAAAAATGAGAACGGAATATAGAGAAACCCAGTTCTCACCTAAACAGCATAACTAAACAGAATAGTAGCGACCATCTTGAAGTCTGAATTTTGTCTTGTTCTTGGTCCAAGTTTATAGACAACAGTATATCATGCAGAATCAGAAACAAGGTGCGTGTATTGGAGGTCTTGGGTGTCTCCTGATAGAAAGTCTGACTATGTAGGTGACCTATATATTTACGTAGTATCAAACATATTACTAGGCAGGGGTCTTTCAACTCTTCTTAACATCTTTTAACTAAATGAAAAGTCTTTGCTAACAAAAGCGTATTAGCTGGCGTATGGCATGGCTATGTACAGCGTTTATTTTGTCTGTATTCATGACTGTGGCTGACTGAAGGTATCTAAAGTTTCTCAGTAGTTTGAGATGCTCAAGCTTTAATCTTCTCCAGTTTTAACTGGAGTGATGCGGCTCGGTGCACTAGATTGTTCAGTTACATTATGATTGATAGATTGTTCAGTTACATTATGAATTCAGGCTGGGTGGGTTTAGAGTTTATCTAGGGGGAGGAATCTAATGTTTACCAAGAACACTTAAAAAAGGAGGTGGTCATTTTGTGCGAGCGTCATGGGACGGGGGGTGGCGGGCCCAAGCACAGAGCTCTTGGGTTTTTATTCATTAATTTATTTGTTATTGTAGTGTGTAGATCTTACTGGTATGAGGTGGTAAAGTGAACTTTGGTGTCACTTTGTGGAGAGCGCTGGGCTGCCGTTTGTGCAAGCTTTTATGCAGTGTTTCTAAGGTGCACTGATTATTGGTAGGGCTGCTGGGAGTTGGAGTTCTAGGAGCTGCACCTAGCAGGTCTCCTGGCACAACGCCCAGGTCCCCTAGTGGTGGCTGGCATCATAGCCTGACCCCTTACAGTACAGGGCTGTCACTACCCGATTTGAAACAGAAGCCCAGTTTGGACTACGCAGGTGCGAAAGTGTATGTCAACCAACCTGATCTGGACTACACATTCGCATGGACGTTATAAAACGATATTGGAAATGACATACCTTTGCTGTGCATGCATAGTCCATATTGGGTTACCGGTTCAAATCAGGTAGCAACAAGGACATTAATTCTGTCAGAAAATTCACATTTTATTCAAGGAAATAGTCCTAACCCAAGCCCCGTCAATTTGACCCTGGTTGGAAACTACATAATCAAGTCTATTAGAGATTACTTAACATCTCCACACAGTTTGAGGGGACTACGTGATGTTTATACATACAGTTAGGACAATGCTAATTGGTGAGATATTATTTTCCATTACTACATTAGCCTCTATTACTTACATGTAGCTCCATGTAAAGCTTTAAAAAATGCCAAAATATGTATTACTATATATTCTTTTTGCTATTATTCTTACTGCTGGGCAGACTAATATAATTAGTTTCATCTTATAAATATTTGGGTTTTTATGTTAAATGACCATGTAATAAAGGGCCGTGGCAGCATGGCTGACTACAGCAGAATCTGGCTCTTGGCATGTGGAACGTAAACTCACTGGAGGGAAGTAGGCGGAGCTTGTGCTGGAGGTTGAGAGGTAACTAGATATAGTTAGGCTCATGTCCACTTACAATGTTGGCTCTGGAACTGAACTCCTTGATAAGGGTTGGTCCCTCTCCTAGTCAGAAGTTGCACACGGTGAGAGGTGCCAGGCAGGTGTGGGGATACTCACAAGCCCCCCAGCTGACTGCCATGCAGTTGGAGTTTGTCCTGGTGGATCAGAGGGTTGCCTCAATGCAAATTAAGGCAACCCTGACTGTTGTGTGTGCTTATGCACCAAACAACAGTTCTGAGTGTTTGGCCTTCTTGGAGTGAGTGGGTGGGGTTCTGAAAAGGGCCCCACCTACAGACTCCATAGTCTTGCTGGGAAGTTTCAATGCTCATGTTGGCAATGACTGGGAAACCTGGACAGTGATTGGGAAGAACAGCCTGCTCGATCTAAACTCGAATGGTGAATTATTATTGGACTTCTGTGCTAGTCATGGATTTTCCATAATGAACACAAGGACATTAGTGTACTAGGTACCAGAGCTCCTTGGGTCAGAGGTCAGTGATCGACTTTGTCATTTTATCTGACATGGGACCATATGTTCTGAACACTCAGGTGAAGATCTGGTGGTGAGTTGGATCAGATGGCAGGGTAGACTAGTGGTCAGACCTAGTAGACCCACACGAATAGTGAGGGTGTGCTGGGAACGACTGGCAGAGGGACCCGTTTGGAAGGATTTTAACTCCCACCTCCGGGAGACCTTTTCTCATGTCCCGGAGGAGGTAGGGGACATGGAGTCTGAATGGACCCTGTTCAAAACCTCCATTGTGGAAGCCACCAGGCCTAGCTGTGGCCAAAGGCTTGTTGGTGCCTGTCAGGGCAGCAACGCAAGAACCCCCAGGTGGACACCTGTGGTGAGGGAAGCCAGCCTCCCAGCCTCCCTGGGAAAGTTTAGACTAAGGTACTGAAAAGGAGACCAAGACTGATAGTCAAACCTCAGATTGAGAAGGAACAATGCTGATTCTGTCCTGGCCGTAGAACAATGGACCAGCTTTTCACCCTCACGCAGATTGTTGAGGGGGCCTGGGAGTTTGCCAACCCAGTCTACATATGTTTTGTGGACTTGGAGAAGGCTTACGACCTTGTTCCCCGAGATAATCCGTGAGGAGTTCCTCTGGGAGTATGGAGTGCCGGGGCCACTAGTCTCGGCCATTCAGTCTTTGTACTCCTGGAGCGAAGGTTCTGTTCGTAGCTTGTTCAATGTGAGTGTTTGACTGCACCAAAGTTGCGCCTTGTCTCCACTCATGTTTGTGATATGGACAAAGTGTCAAGGCGTAGCTGAGGTCAGGAGAGCATTGTGTGTGGAGGCTGGACGGTGGTGTCTCTGCTTTTTGTGTATGGTGTTGTCTTTTTGGCTCCATCACATGGATGCCTCCAGTGCTTACTGGAGTGGTTTGCGGCTGAATGTGAAGTGGTTGGTATGCAGATTAGCATGTCAAAGTCTGAGTCCATGATCCTAGTCCAGAAAAGGATGGCCTGCCCCCTCCAGGTAAGGGGAAAGGACCTGCCCCAGGTGAAGGGCTTCTGGAAGTGTCTTGTCTTGTTCATGAGTGGTGGGAAGAGGGATTGTGAGATTGGCTGCAGGCTAGGACACGCGGCAGAAGTAATGTGGTCACTATACTGGACGGAGCTGAGCTATAAGGCAAAGCTCTCTGCTTACTGGTCGGTCTACATCCCCACCCTCACCTGTGGTCATGAGCTTTGGGTAATGACCAAATGAATGAGATCATGAATACAAGTGGCAGATATGAGTTTTCTTCACAGGGTGGCGGGCTACAGACAGAGTGAGGAGCTTGGTCATCTGCCAGGATCTCAAGGCCACTACTCCTCCATGTTGAGAGGAACCAGTTGGAGGTTTACCAGGCATGGCCTACTGTGATGAGACCCCAAGGTCATCCTAGGTCCCCTGGAGGGATTTTATCTCCAAGTTGGCCTGGGAGCAGCTTTGGGTTCCTCAGAATGAGCTGGAGGAAGTTGCAGGGGACAGGGTCATCCGGGATTCTCTGTATTGCCTACTGCTACCACAACCCTAGCTGGATTAAGTGGTTTAAGATGATCAATGAATAAATGTTAGATGACAAACCCGTCTTTTAAACTGCATGTCAAATAAATGATAAAGAAGCTGAAGCTAGAGGATCTCAGGATCTTATTTTAGAAACAGTTCTTGCTTCACTCAGTAGGCAAGGCAGTTGAAGCTACCTTTTTTACCTGTTTTAGACTATTGTGTTATTCTATACAGGCACGCCTCAAAGACAACATTGCGCTCACTTTGTTTGTCATTCTATATTAAGATTTATAACTTGTGGGAGATAATCAACTCATCATTGTAAACTTCCACTTTCAGTGCAAAGACAAATCCATTGGATGAATTTTGTCTGCAATTATTGGTCTGCTTCCATCATATTTGACTGTATTAATTTCTGGCAAACTCTTAATTACAGTGCTCCATTTGCGAGGAATGATCTGTAGAAATATTTGAATTTGGAGCACTGATTTTAAGATGGTTGTTAAATAACTGTATCTCTATGTTTGGTCTTGTTATTAATTTGATTCAAAGTAATTACTTAAATTGAGCTTAGGTTAAGCTTATCTGTTGTTGGTTGTGCTGTTGTTTCTCTGTTGATTGTCCTCTTGGTTGTTGTGTGTGACCTTCTTGGTCAGGGCTCAGTTTTAAAAGAGATTTCTAACGTCAGTGTTTCTACCTTGGTTAAATTAAGGTGAAATAATAATAAAAATGAAGAATCAAATGTCAGACACCGAGCATAATCTGATCAACTACATTTGGAGTAATGGGGTAAACTAGATGTTTTGTTGAACAGTCACTTTAAGATACAGACTGTGAGGATCTTCTCTGAGTGCTGGTGTTGATATTCAGCAGTAACAACCTCCTCAGCTGAATCATCTCACTGAGAGTCAGAGCAGTCATAAGGCTGTAACAATACATACATTGAGTTTAGTTCATTATTAGAAAGAATTTAAGAAATGTCCTGAAATAAGATAATGAACACAAACTGAGGCAATTAATTGTATTATTATTACTGAGGCATATCAATTATTAAATTAATAAGAGTAAAAAAAAAGGGCGGCCAGTCTATGGCCCTTTAATAACAGGTAGCTTACAGTTATGCTTGAGTAACACAAACAAAATCTGTTTTAAAGAGCTGCCACAGTGCTAACAAATAACATGTCACATAAATGGGTGAACTGACTGACATTATTACTTGAAAGTACTAAGCAAATCTGAGAAAGTCAGTGAGTGCCATGGATTTACACAACAGCGATAGAGAGAGAAGAGTCTTACCCAGATCACAACCAGATAGCCCTCAAATTCCATCTTCCTAAAAATGGAAAAAAGTCAAATTCTAGTTTATTTGAGGATGAGTACATGACTGTAATATTCTGAAAACATTAGTAAATGACTGTGAAGTTATGAAAACATTAGTATATGACTGTACAGTTATGAAAACATTAGTATATGACTGTACAGTTATGAAAACATTAGTAAATGACCGTACAGTTATGAAAACATTAGTAAGTGACTGTAAAGTTATGAAAACATTAGTATATGACTGTACAGTTATGAAAACATTAGTAAATGACTGTACAGTTATGAAAACATTAGTAAGTGACTGTAAAGTTATGAAAACATTAGTAAATGACTGTACAGTTATGAAAACATCAGTATATGACTGTAAAGTTATGAAAACTTTAGTAAGTGACTGTAAAGTTATGAAAACATTAGTAAATGACTGTAAAGTTATGAAAACATTAGTAAGTGACTGTAAAGTTATGAAAACATTAGTATATGACTGTAAAGTTATGAAAACATTAGTAAGTGACTGTAAAGTTATGAAAACATTAGTATATGACTGTAAAGTTATGAAAACATTAGTAAGTGACTGTAAAGTTATGAAAACTTTAGTAAGTGACTGTAAAGTTATGAAAACATTAGTAAATGACTGTAAAGTTATGAAAACATTAGTAAGTGACTGTAAAGTTATGAAAACATTAGTATATGACTGTAAAGTTATGAAAACATTAGTAAATGACTAAAGTTATGAAAACATTAGTATATGACTGTAAAGTTATGAAAACATTAGTATATGACTGTAAAGCTGATTTACATATGCATTCATGATCTACATATGCACTGTGGCAGTTTGCACATTCATGTGTGTGAGGAGCGAGAGGCGGCGTAAGCAGCAGGAAGTTCAGTGTCCTGTAGAGTATAGGACTGAACACAGTTTGGGAACCACTGGTGTAAAGTAAATAAACTAATACTGGCAGTTTGGAATTTATGTTCTTCATTTGATCCACATTGAAATCATTTGATTTGATTTACCAAACACAGGGAGAGAGATGGATGTAGAGCGGAGCTGCCCTGTTAAAGAGACACAACAGAACCACAGAAAGTGGAAAAGATTAGTCTAAATCTTCTGTTATTGCTTTTTAAACATTCTCAGATTAAGAAGGTATTAATAACACCATCAAAAGAAAACAGAAACATGGCACAACACAGTAGTGTAGTTAGATCACAGAGCTCGTACAGTCATATGCAAAAGTTTGAACACCTCTGGTTAAATTACAGAACATGTTACTGTTGATTTTCTAAGTGAAAATAACACAACATAAAAATAACACATAACAACCTCCACAGAGAATAACTTAAATATGACATTTATCTGCTAATTTCAGCCCACAAATTTGATTTATCTGCTGAGCTTAACATTTAAGGCCCTCCTGAGAAAATCCTCTATAGCGTTTGGGGGGAAGGCCAAAGTATGCAACAAAGTATGGGGGACTTTTATGGATTTAAAAACAGAACAGCTTAGAAAAACCTTTTCCCCCTAATTTATGTGTTTCTGAGTGTTTACATGTACATTATTAATGAAAAATTACAGTGAATATTACTGATGAAGGAAATCTGTAATGAAGATGTTTGAGGTGATGAGTTTTTGTAAAGCAGTGATATAAAAAATAAGTAAAAGATGTGAAAGAGAACCTCCCTCTCACCATCCCCCCTTTCTTTTTTTAATTTTAACATTTAAAAATGTCTTTCATCCCCCTCTGTACCTCATAGAGCGCTGAAAGAAAAGAAGAGAAAACAAACACTGTATCACACTGGACGCTTGGAATTTCCTGTGTATAAATAAAGCAATAAAAAAGAAAATCAACAATCATGGAATTTGACCAGGGGTGCACAAACTTTTACACATGACTGTAGATCAGTGATGTCTGTAACAGATCAGTTTAGTAACAGATGATCTACAGAAGATCAGACTGTGGATGTGTTTGTTCTGATTGGTGTGGATTCAGGGTTTAGTGGACGTTTCCTTCATGAACAGGTGATGATCTCACCTCCAGCTGTGGTCAGTCCTGCAGTCCGAGTCAGTCTGACTTGAGTGAGCTTCTGACCATCATCATCATCATCATCATCCTCAGCTGAGAGAGAATGAGAAAAGAGTCTGATTCAGCTGATAGACTTTTAGACCCTCAATGTGGCGTAATAATTGTATATTTTGGAGACGGAAAATAAAACAAAAATAAAAATAACCAACATTACCCAGATCTGTAGAAAAGTCTACTGAAGCAGTGGAACCTTCTGTAAACAAACAGTAAAAGCTCAGTGAACAGCAGGAGGAAACATTGAGTGACGAATATAAAATGTGTCCAATCAGATTAATGACGTAATAATGATATGATGCAGATAATGAAAATGAAATAAAATTAAAATAACCAACATTACCCAGATTTGGACGTGGTAAATCCATTGAAGCAGTGAATCTTTCTGTAAAGAAACAGTAAAAGTTTAGTGAACAGCAGGAATAACACTGAATGAAGAATATAAAATGTGTCCAGTCAGATTTATAACATAATTATTATATGATTTAGATATTGAAAATGAAATAAAATTAAGATAACCAATATTACCCATATACGGAGGAAGAAACTCCATTGAAGAAGAAAAGCTTTCTGTAAACAAACAGTAAAAACTCAGTGAACAGCTGGAATAACATTGAGTGACGAATATAAAATGTGTCCAATCAGATTAATGACGTAATAATGGTATAATGCAGATAATGAAAATGAAATAAAATTAAAATAACCAACATTACCCAGAGCTGGAGGTAGTTTATCCATTGAAGCAGTGAATCTTTCTGTAAAGAAACAGTAAAAGCTCAGTGAACAGCAGGAATAAACACTGAATGAAGAATATAAAATGTGTCCAGTCAGATTTATAACATAATAATTATATGATTTAGATATTGAAAATGAAATAAAATTAAGATAACCAATATTACCCATTACTGGAGGTAGTTTATCCATTGAAGCAGTGAATCTTTCTGTAAAGAAAAAGTAAAAGCTCAGTGAACAGCAGGAATAAACACTGAGTGGAGAATATTACATTTATCTGATCAGGTTTATGATGTAATAATTCTATGATTTAGATATTGAAAGTGAAATAAAATTAAAAAACTAACATTACCCATTTTTGGAGATAGAAACTCCCTTGAAGAAGAAAAGCTTTCTGTAAACAAACAGTAAAAACTCAGTGAACAGCTGGAATAACATTGAGTGACGAATATAAAATGTGTCCAATCGGATTAATGACGTAATAATGGTATAATGCAGATAATGAAAATGAAATAAAATTAAAATAACCAACATTACCCAGAGCTGGAGGTAGTTTATCCATTGAAGCAGTGAATCTTTCTGTAAAGAAACAGTAAAAGCTCAGTGAACAGCAGGAATAAACACTGAATGAAGAATATAAAATGTGTCCAGTCAGATTTATAACATAATAATTATATGATTTAGATATTGAAAATGAAATAAAATTAAGATAACCAATATTACCCATTACTGGAGGTAGTTTATCCATTGAAGCAGTGAATCTTTCTGTAAAGAAAAAGTAAAAGCTCAGTGAACAGCAGGAATAAACACTGAGTGGAGAATATTACATTTATCTGATCAGGTTTATGATGTAATAATTCTATGATTTAGATATTGAAAGTGAAATAAAATTAAAAAACTAACATTACCCATTTTTGGAGATAGAAACTCCCTTGAAGAAGAAAAGCTTTCTGTAAAGAAACAGTAAAATTTCAGTGAACAGCAGGAATAAACACTGAGTAGAGAATATTACATTTATCTGATCGGGTTTATGATGTAATAATTCTATGATTTAAATATTGAAAATGAAATAAAATTAAAATAATCAATATTACCCATATACCGAGGTAGAAACTCCCTTGAAGAAGAAAAGCTTTCTGTAAAGAAACAGTAAAAGCTCAGTGAACAGCAGGAATAAACACTGAGTGAAGAAGATTACATTTATCTGATCAGGTTTATGATGTAATAATTGTATGATTTACATATTGAAAGTGAAAAAAAATTAAAATAACCAATATTACCCGTTTTCAGAGGTAGAGTCTCATATGAAGAAGAAAAGCTTTCTGTATAAAAACAGTAAAAGTTTAGTGAACAGCAGGAATAACACTGAGTGAAGAATATAAAATGTGTCCAATCAGATTTACAACATAATTATTATATGATTTAGATATTGAAAATGAAATAAAATTTAAATAACCAATATTACCCATATACGGAGGAAGAAACTCGCTTGAAGAAGAAAAGCTTCCTGTAAAGAAACAGTAAAAGCTCAGTGAACAGCAGGAGGAAACACTGAGTGGAGAATATTACATTTATCTGATCAGATAAATGTTTAATTTGTTATCACTGTGGCTTTAATTAGATCAAAGTCTTTGATGAATTAGATCATTTCTTGTACACAGAAAGCAGCAACTACAGTTGTACACAAAAGTCTGAGTGTGAATAAGTGAACACAGGGAACATTAAGGGATCCACTTCTGTACATATTAATACACAGTTACTGTTTATTTACTGAGTTTATCATACTGGGAAAACATCAAGACATAAAATGTGGACTGTGAGAGTTATGGCACATTTTATGTTTTACTTTTCTCCCAATATGATAAACTAAAAAAATTAGCAAAAAAATGTCACATTTATTTTCACCTAGAAAATCAGCAACACATGGAATTTGACCAGAAGTGTTCAAACTTTTGCATACAACACCATCACTGAAAGAGGGAGAAGATCATCAACATCTCCTCTCATGAAACACCATCTGTCTACAAATGGATCACTGATTGTTCCAGCTGTGAATTAAAAGCTCCAGCTGTGAATTAAAAGCTCCAGCTGTGAATTACAAGTACCCTTAAAATTAAAAAATTGTATTTTAAAAATCCAAAATAGTCAGAACTTGGCTCTGTTTCTCTGGGTTAACAAGACAGATAATTATAATAATAATAATGTTTAAAATCAGCAGTTTAAAATAATTGCTTAATGCTTTAATGTTGTTTTTGTAGTAATCACTAATACACACTAGATAAAAATGAAAAATTCCCCAACCAAACAAAAAACAGCCCACTCCATCACTGGATGAGTGATATGGTGAACTGCTGGCATATCAAGTTATTTTGTTATTTTGTGTTTATCCGCCAACAGATTAAGTGATTGATCCATTCAAATGCTTTCAGCAGTTGCTGAATATCAGTATCATCTGCACCTGAGTATTTCTTTTAGACTGCCAGTGTGTGAGAACATATAAACAGACAGTTTTTGTTCTCACCATTTGAATATCCTCTGTGGGCACGTTTAACTGGAGGTTTCACAACTTTTCCTTTTGCTATTTTTTTCATAAGAAGTGCAAAAGCCATCGCAACAGCAAAACAGGCATTTACTATGCATGAGAGAACTAATAATATCTCTGTTCCCTCTTTTCCTTCATTTTCTTTCTTCCCCTTATTTGTATCACAAGGAATTACAGTGGAAGTGCTGTTTCTTATGTCCTCATCAGAACGTTCCGGGTAAGACCGTGGTTTATCACTAGGAGCCACACTAGAAGTGCTGTTTCTGATGTCCTCATCAGAACGTTCCGCGTAAGACCGTGGTTTATCACTAGGAGCCACACTAGAAGTGCTGTTTCTGATGTCCTCATCAGAACGTTCCGCGTAAGACCGTGGTTTATCACTAGGAACCACACTAGAAGTGCTGTTTCTGATGTCCTCATCAGAACGTTCCGCGTAAGACCGTGGTTTATCACTAGGAACCACACTAGAAGTGCTGTTTCTGATGTCCTCATCAGAACGTTCCGTGTAAGACCGTGGTTTATCACTAGGAACCACAGTAGAAGTGCTGTTTCTGATGTCCTCATCAGAACGTTCCGGGTAAGACCGTGGTTTATCACTAGGAGCCACACTAGAAGTGCTGTTTCTTATGTCCTCATCAGAACGTTCCGTGTAAGACCGTGGTTTATCACTAGGAACCACAGTAGAAGTGTTGTTTCTGATGTCCTCATCAGAACGTTCCGTGTAAGACCGTGGTTTATCACTAGGAACCACAGTAGAAGTGCTGTTTCTGATGTCCTCATCAGAACGTTCCGGGTAAGACCGTGGTTTATCACTAGGAGCCACACTAGAAGTGCTGTTTCTGATGTCCTCATCAGAACGTTCCATGTAAGACCGTGGTTTATCACTAGGAACCACACTAGAAGTGCTGTTTCTTATGTCCTCATCAGAACGTTCCGCGTAAGGCAGCGGTTTATCACTAGGAACCACACTAGAAGTGCTGTTTCTTATGTCCTCATCAGAACGTTCCGCGTAAGACCGTGGTTTATCACTAGGAACCACACTAGAAGTGCTGTTTCTGATGTCCTCATCAGAACGTTCCGCGTAAGACCGTGGTTTATCACTAGGAACCACACTAGAAGTGCTGTTTCTGATGTCCTCATCAGAACGTTCCGTGTAAGACCGTGGTTTATCACTAGGAACCACAGTAGAAGTGCTGTTTCTGATGTCCTCATCAGAACGTTCCGGGTAAGACCGTGGTTTATCACTAGGAGCCACACTAGAAGTGCTGTTTCTGATGTCCTCATCAGAACGTTCCGTGTAAGACCATGGTTTATCACTAGGAACCACACTAGAAGTGCTGTTTCTTATGTCCTCATCAGAACGTTCCGCGTAAGGCAGCGGGTTATCACTAGGAGACACAGTAGAAATGCTGTTTCTTATGTCCTCATCAGAACGTTCCGCGTAAGGCAGCGGTTTATCACTAGGAACCACACTAGAAGTGCTGTTTCTGATGTCCTCATCAGAACGTTCCGCGTAAGGCAGCGGTTTATCACTAGGAGCCACACTAGAAGTGCTGTTTCTTATGTCCTCATCAGAACGTTCCGCGTAAGATTGTGGTTTATCACTAGGAACCACACTAGAAGTGCTGTTTCTGATGTCCTCATCAGAACGTTCCGTGTAAGACAGCGGTTTATCACTAGGAACCACACTAGAAGTGCTGTTTCTGATGTCCTCATCAGAACGTTCCGTGTAAGACAGCGGTTTATCACTAGGAACCCAACTAGAAGTGCTGTTTCTGATGTCCTCATCAGAACGTTCCGCGTAAGACCGTGGTTTATCACTAGGAACCACACTAGAAGTGCTGTTTCTGATGTCCTCATCAGAACGTTCCGCGTAAGACCGTGGTTTATCACTAGGAACCACACTAGAAGTGCTGTTTCTGATGTCCTCATCAGAACGTTCCGTGTAAGACCGTGGTTTATCACTAGGAACCACAGTAGAAGTGCTGTTTCTGATGTCCTCATCAGAACGTTCCGGGTAAGACCGTGGTTTATCACTAGGAGCCACACTAGAAGTGCTGTTTCTTATGTCCTCATCAGAACGTTCCGTGTAAGACCGTGGTTTATCACTAGGAACCACAGTAGAAGTGCTGTTTCTGATGTCCTCATCAGAACGTTCCGTGTAAGACCGTGGTTTATCACTAGGAACCACAGTAGAAGTGCTGTTTCTGATGTCCTCATCAGAACGTTCCGGGTAAGACCGTGGTTTATCACTAGGAGCCACACTAGAAGTGCTGTTTCTGATGTCCTCATCAGAACGTTCCATGTAAGACCGTGGTTTATCACTAGGAACCACACTAGAAGTGCTGTTTCTTATGTCCTCATCAGAACGTTCCGCGTAAGGCAGCGGTTTATCACTAGGAACCACACTAGAAGTGCTGTTTCTTATGTCCTCATCAGAACGTTCCGCGTAAGACCGTGGTTTATCACTAGGAACCACACTAGAAGTGCTGTTTCTGATGTCCTCATCAGAACGTTCCGCGTAAGACCGTGGTTTATCACTAGGAACCACACTAGAAGTGCTGTTTCTGATGTCCTCATCAGAACGTTCCGTGTAAGACCGTGGTTTATCACTAGGAACCACAGTAGAAGTGCTGTTTCTGATGTCCTCATCAGAACGTTCCGGGTAAGACCGTGGTTTATCACTAGGAGCCACAGTAGAAGTGCTGTTTCTGATGTCCTCATCAGAACGTTCCGTGTAAGACCATGGTTTATCACTAGGAACCACACTAGAAGTGCTGTTTCTTATGTCCTCATCAGAACGTTCCGCGTAAGACCGCGGTTTATCACTAGGAGCCACAGTAGAAGTGCTGTTTCTGATGTCCTCATCAGAACGTTCCGCATAAGGCAGCGGGTTATCACTAGGAGACACAGTAGAAATGCTGTTTCTTATGTCCTCATCAGAACGTTCCGCGTAAGGCAGCGGTTTATCACTAGGAACCACACTAGAAGTGCTGTTTCTGATGTCCTCATCAGAACGTTCCGCGTAAGGCAGCGGTTTATCACTAGGAGCCACACTAGAATTGCTGTTTCTTATGTCCTCATCAGAACGTTCCGCGTAAGATTGTGGTTTATCACTAGGAACCACACTAGAAGTGCTGTTTCTGATGTCCTCATCAGAACGTTCCGTGTAAGACAGCGGTTTATCACTAGGAACCACACTAGAAGTGCTGTTTCTGATGTCCTCATCAGAACGTTCCGTGTAAGACAGCGGTTTATCACTAGGAACCCAACTAGAAGTGCTGTTTCTGATGTCCTCATCAGAACGTTCCGCGTAAGGCAGCAGGTTATCACTAGGAACCACACTAGAAGTGCTGTTTCTGATGTCCTCATCAGAACGTTTCGCGTAAGGCAGCGGTTTATCACTAGGTACCACACTAGAAGTGCTGTTTCTGATGTCCTCATCAGAACGTTCCGTGTAAGACCGCGGTTCATCACTAGGAACCACACTAGAAGTGCTGTTTCTGATGTCCTCATCAGAACGTTCTGTGTAAGACCGCGGTTTATCACTAGGAGCCACAGTAGAAGTGCTGTTTCTGATGTCCTCATCAGAACGTTCCGCGTAAGGCAGCGGGTTATCACTAGGAGACACAGTAGAAATGCTGTTTCTTATGTCCTCATCAGAACGTTCCGCGTAAGGCAGCGGTTTATCACTAGGAACCACACTAGAAGTGCTGTTTCTGATGTCCTCATCAGAACGTTCCGCGTAAGGCAGCGGTTTATCACTAGGAGCCACACTAGAAGTGCTGTTTCTTATGTCCTCATCAGAACGTTCCGCGTAAGATTGTGGTTTATCACTAGGAACCACACTAGAAGTGCTGTTTCTGATGTCCTCATCAGAACGTTCCGTGTAAGACAGCGGTTTATCACTAGGAACCACACTAGAAGTGCTGTTTCTGATGTCCTCATCAGAACGTTCCGTGTAAGACAGCGGTTTATCACTAGGAACCACACTAGAAGTGCTGTTTCTGATGTCCTCATCAGAACGTTCCACGTAAGGCCGCGGTTTATCACTAGGAACCCAACTAGAAGTGCTGTTTCTGATGTCCTCATCAGAACGTTCCGCGTAAGGCAGCGGGTTATCACTAGGAACCACACTAGAAGTGCTGTTTCTGATGTCCTCATCAGAACGTTTCGCGTAAGGCAGCGGTTTATCACTAGGTACCACACTAGAAGTGCTGTTTCTGATGTCCTCATCAGAACGTTCCGTGTAAGACCGCGGTTCATCACTAGGAACCACACTAGAAGTGCTGTTTCTGATGTCCTCATCAGAACGTTCTGTGTAAGACCACGGTTTATCACTAGGAGCCACAGTAGAAGTGCTGTTTCTGATGTCCTCATCAGAACGTTCCACGTAAGGCAGCGGTTTATCACTAGGAACCACACTAGAAGTGCTGTTTCTGATGTCCTCATCAGAACGTTCCGCGTAAGGCTGCGGTTTATCACTAGGAACCACACTAGAAGGGCTGTTTCTGATGTCCTCATCAGAACGTTCCGCGTAAGGCAGCGGGTTATCACTAGGAACCACACTAGAAGTGCTGTTTCTTATGTCCTCATCAGAACGTTCCACGTAAGACCGCGGTTCATCACTAGGAGCCACACTAGAAGGGCTGTTTCTTATGTCCTCATCAGAACGTTCCGCGTAAGACCGCGGTTCATCACTAGGAGCCACACTAGAAGTGCTGTTTCTTATGTCCTCATCAGAACGTTCCGCGTAAGGCAGTGGTTTATCACTAGGAACCACACTAGAAGTGCTGTTTCTGATGTCCTCATCAGAACGTTCCACGTAAGGCAGTGGTTTATCACTAGGAGCCACACTAGAAGTGCTGTTTCTTATGTCCTCATCAGAACGTTCCGCGTAAGGCAGCGGGTTATCACTAGGAACCACGCTAGAAGTGCTGTTTCTTATGTCCTCATCAGAACGTTCCACGTAAGACCGCGGTTTATCACTAGGAACCACAGTAGAAGTGCTGTTTCTTATGTCCTCATCAGAACGTTCCGTGTAAGACCGCGGTTCATCACTAGGAGCCACAGTAGAAGTGCTGTTTCTTATGTCCTCATCAGAACGTTCCGTGTAAGACCGCGGTTCATCACTAGGAACCACACTAGAAGGGCTGTTTCTGATGTCCTCATCAGAACGTTCCGCGTAAGACCGCGGTTCATCACTAGGAACCACACTAGAAGTGCTGTTTCTGATGTCCTCATCAGAACGTTTCGCGTAAGGCAGCGGTTTATCACTAGGAACCACACTAGAAGTGCTGTTTCTTATGTCCTCATCAGAACGTTCCGCGTAAGGCAGTGGTTTATCACTAGGAACCACACTAGAAGTGCTGTTTCTTATTTCCTCATCAGAACGTTCCGTGTAAGACCGCGGTTCATCACTAGGAACCACACTAGAAGTGCTGTTTCTTATTTCCTCATCAGAACGTTCCGTGTAAGACCGCGGTTTATCACTAGGAGCCACAGTAGAAGTGCTGTTTCTTATGTCCTCATCAGAACGTTCCGCGTAAGACCGCGGTTCATCACTAGGAGCCACACTAGAAGGGCTGTTTCTGATGTCCTTATCAGAATCTTTCAGGTAAGACCACTTTCCTTCAATAGGAAACACACTAGTTCTAATGTGCTCATCATAAAAGTTCAGGTAAGACCGCAGTCTGTCTGTACAGCCTTGCTGCAGATAGTACTTGATGATTTGATTGAAGTGGGTTAAACTGTTCCACTCTGTTTTAACTGCTAGGAACCTTTTGTCCAGCGCTTCCCACTCATCTCTGTCATCATTAAAGCGGAGGATGATCTTTCCATTGAGTCTGAATTCAGCTGTAGTGCTCAGTAAGGTCACATCTCCACTAGAGGATCTCTCGACCTCACAGACATATCTCTGTGTAAGGTCACTGTCAGTATCTGAAATGCAGACAAACATCATTTATTTATAGTCTTTAACACACAGCTCACCATATACATTTCTGATATTATACATATTTAGAGTGTTTTTAATATGATCAAATTCAACACCAATCTTTAGAACTGATACCTTTTAGATGGTGATAGAGCTCTTTATAATAATTACAAAATATGTAATCCACATCAATCATTCTTATTCTCCAGGGAGAGTACATCCAGATACCAGTTCTTTTTTGGATGAAACAGTAGACCCCCACGCCATCAAACTGGACAGTGGCCTTCATGATCCAGTTGTTGGAGTGAGCGTTGTAGGTGTGGTATAAGGAGTGTCTCTCTGTGGGACAGACACAGAACAGTAAATAAATCACCCAGTGGACAGAACAACTTCAGAAAAATGGCCGAGCTGAACAGTCACTTAAAGAGATGTATTGAAACACTGAATAAATTACTTAACCATTATTATTATTAATAATAATAATAATAATAATAATGTTACATTTATATAGCGCCTTTCACAATACCAAGGTCGCTTTACATAACACAAAAAACCTCTATGACTAAGCAGTGAAGGAGGAAGAAAAATGCTCATGAAAGAGAAAAATCTTTAAATTAGATTTGAAAGTAGAGAAAGATGAGCAGTCACAGATGGATCACAAAAGAGAGTTCCAGATCTTCCCTACCAAAGTGGAAAGTCTGGTGCTGGGACAGCAAGTAAGTTATTACAAGAAGACCTGAGAGAGCGAGAGGGAGTCTAAGAGGTCAGAAGTTCTCTGTGGTAGAGGGGAACGAAGTTATACAGGGATGAAAGTGAATAGTCAAATTTTAAACTGGTAGCCAGTGTAGCTGAGAGAGAACGGGAGTGATGTGAGATGAACGCTTAGTATGGGTGAGAACTCTAGATGCAGAGCTCTGAATGTACTGTTGTAACACTCTCATTGAAACACTTTCCAAACTCATAGTCAAAACACAGGCAATGGTCAGATCCAAAACAGTCCAAAAACACAAAAAGACAAACATTACCAGAAGGCAGACAAAATCCAAAAGGGCAGAGACAAAAGGCAGAGTCGAAAATCCAGAAAAACAGTCAAAAAACAAGCAGGCAATACAAGAAAAAAATGCTCAGGAGCTCACAAGAAAGCAATTCCTCGCAAAGATCTAACTAAAGCCCGGTCTTTAAATACTAACTATCATAGGTCACATGAACAAGGAGGACAGATGAAACATACACTATATACACGAACTGTTAAATATAATTTTTATTTCATTTTACTTTATTTGTTCCTTATTAACTTGTAACTTCTCTTAAACCTTTTCCCTGTTTTCTCCCTTGCCTTTTTGTATTAATCTCGTTTGCATTTTGTATGTCTCTCTTGGGTGATGTGTGGGGGCTGTGGAGAGCAGTCCTTTGTCATTTAACGACCCCCAATGGTTAGCCTATCTCACATCTGGTTATCTATAGCCCCCCAACCTAGCAATGCCATTTGCTGATGGTGATATCTCAGACCCATCCTGGCTCCTAGGGTGGGCCTCAACACTTCTATTTTAATTACAAAGGTACAGGCAGTTGTCCATTCCGTGGGGGGTTCCGGGGGTTCGTTGAGACAAAGAGACAACTGAGGGTGTGGTTTACATTTTGTGACTATAAGTTTCATCAGTGTGTAAGCTTCATTAGACTTGTTTGGTTAGGAAGACGCGCGTTCAATAAACCTCATTTTCGTCCACTCCTGTTTGCTTCAAAAAACCAACGCTTGCCAGCAGAAGTCAACAGATTTTTTGGCGACGAAGGTGGGATCCGAGATCTGCAAGGTTTTTCCAGTTTTTTGAGACATCTAAAGCTGTAAACATCCTCTGCAGTTCGACGGAAATCGAGACTCTAGTGACGGTCTGCTGCTGGCTGATCCTGTGCTGTAAAGACGATGAACCTTCACCTCCTACACTAACGGTGAGCGAAAGAAAACTCAAAAAGCAGCACACACAGCTTTGAATTAGGTGTATCCTAGTTCCTTAGTCCCTGATTAGAGGTTTAAGGTGGCGCCCTTACTCGGGGAAGAGGTCAGATCTACTTTATTGTTTTGTGTTGTTTTTGTTTTGTAATTGTGTAAGTTTAAAATATTAGCACTTAAAATGCAGAAATTCTGTTCTTCCAGAAATGTGGCTGGTTCCACTTCTAATAATACAGAATCCACATCTCCCCAATATGCAGACAGAAGTGCATTTGAGTTAGATTTAACAAAGATGCTAGACAAATTTTATCTAAAAAGAAAGGCTAAACTCTGTAAAAAATTCAATCTTCCAGAAAGTTCAGACTGGAGTCAGGAGCAGTGTTTCACAGTTCTTGCTAAATGTGTGAAAAAGAAAAATTTTGAGGGGTGTGTTCAAGTCTTTAGACAATGGCATGCTTTGCTTATGAGAGAACAACGGTCCAAAATTGACCAATTAAAAGAAGAATGTGCTAATCACAAACGTGCTGCTATCAGTGCACAGAAAACCTGTGAAAGTACACAGCGCTCGCTTGTTCTCCTTGAAGCAAAAGTTGAGGTTCTAGAAAAAGAGAGATAACAGAGAAAAACAACAGTTATATCCATCCTTAGATGAATCTAAAAACAAGACAGGGCAATCCATGTCTTCCAGTGACTGTGAGGATGACACGTTTGACCTCTCTGTACTGGAAGCTGCTCCTGTAGTGATAAACCATGTAAAGTTAAAAGATGGACAGGATAAAGCAACTGTGAAATAAAAGCCTCTTCCCTCTGAACAAACTGGTCGCATTGCAAAAGAATTCAACCATCCTAAAGTGATGGGTTTGGGTCCTTTTCTGATGCCACGCAAGACAAAGCTGCACACAGCTACCGTGGTAAAGAATGTGTCCCATGGTTCCGGGAGTAAGCAAAGCAGGGGAACACATGATAATGTCACTACTGTGGTAAAATGGGTCCTTGCACATGCAAGAAGAAGTCTAAGGCAAAGAGTAAAGTGAGTTTAGGGAAAACTCAATCCAACTCTGTGGGTGGGGCTTTCATCCCCAATGTGAAAGATAAATTTGTAAAGCTGATACAGAAAGCAACTTTGTTTTCTGCCATTCCCACAGAGAAGGATCAATTAAACTAACAATAGCTTCTGTGGGAGCGTATTTATAGCCAATTATCCATGAGCAGGACGATAGATGGTAGGTAAAAACTACCATGAATCATAAACCAGCTAGTTAATAACTTTAGGCATGGTAAAAAAAGTTCAGTCCTTCACTGTTTTAAGGCTGCTGCTTTGGGTTCTGTGTAACCTGTGGGTGCCTTCAATGGTTTTATGGTTTTATGATGATTTTATTGGTTCAGCTCATGTAGATGTAATTACTGCCAAAGAAGTGGCAATTGGCTTTGCTCTCACAGCTTCTAAAAGTTTCTTAAGTGTTGTAGTTTGCCTTCAAAAGAGTTTTGACGCCTCATTGTTAATGATGACAGTAATGTCTGATTCTCAAAATGGGGTAGTTCAATAATGCCAGTTAGTTATGTTACAACTTGGTCAAGTGAATCTGCTGTTTCCCTTAGCTGTAAATGTCTGTGGTAGAATCATGAGCAGATATCCTTAACTGATGAGATTATGTCGAGACATAGCTAAAATCTGTTACAGATATTTGGTCCTGTTTGAAACATAGGTTGAAAGAATAGCATTAGCAAACTGCTAGCTGATTCTACAGTGGAGGATTAGGACATGTTCATCACAGTCTGCCATGTTTATGTTAATGATTAAGGTTCTGATAAGCTTAACATTTGCTCATAGTTTAAGTCTGACAATAGTACTAGCCTCACCTTAGCTAGTCTGGTTCAGATCTTTTAAAACAGATAAAGATTTGTAAGGAGCACTGTTGGTCTCAGATCTGAGCAAGGGAAAATGTAACAACAGCAGAGAAACATTTGTCTTTGTAGTAATTAAGGAATGATGTGTGCATTAAAAAGAGCACATAGTCTATTCCTAAACTGGTATTGAAGTTATGTAATAATACACAAAACACAGGCGCTGAGATGAATAATGAAGACTAACTGGGGTAATTGGTACTTTAAGTTTTACTACAGTTGATTTTGAATTCAACAGGTTTGGAAATCTCCAAGAAGGGAGAATTTTGACTGATTTCTGGTAAGACTGAAATTGAAATATAATTATGCATCAGGCCAATCAAGAAGCACATATAAAATTCATTTTCATATGTAGATCTTGACTCAGTCCTGCAAAGGTCTCAGCACACAGTCTCAAAGACTGTAAAATGCAGGATGAGTGTTTTTTCACCGCATGCAGTGACCAGGTTTCAGCTAAACTTCCAAGATTAAGATTTAGTCCATGATTTGACTGCATTTAGCATGATCTGATGGTTCTTTACAGCTGTTGCAGGTGATGCATTTCTTATATCATGTTAGAGTGTGAACTTCCATTATGTTTTGAGCCTGTTCGGAAAAAGCACGCAATTTTATTACAAGGCTTTAAGGAAGTTCCACTTGAGTTTTGGCAGAACCCCTGAAGAAGGTGAGGTGTGACTGAACCTTCAAGGGGGGTGGATGCAATTTGCTCAGGACTGTCATGATAAGAATCACACAGCTGTTGTTTCATCAGAGGCTAAAAGGTAAAGGCTGTTCTAAGTTCTCTTGGTTAAGGTTGCAGCAGTTCTATGTCAAGGTTGTAAAGCGTGGACACATGCTTCACATTGGAAAATTGTACCACCTCCTTAATTAGGGATACATGGGTGGCCTCACTGGAAGGGCTTTGGGGCAGAACTGTTGGCTTGTAGGCTGGCAGGGGTGATCCCCAAAGTGAAGATTTCCCATACCCCTAAATGACGACTAGCGTCTCCACACTTCCAGTTAGGACCTTAGGACCCAAAAGGTGAGGTAGGGTCAGACTGGTGGCACAAAATACAATGTTAGAGCAAACAGCCACAAGTATATCGTGTGTACTATGACGACAAGATACTGCTGATGGTATTTGTGTTTTACAGCTACCAGAAGTGGGAAAAACCTCCAAGAACCACACAACCTGAACCAGCCAAGAATATTTCCAGATCTACTAACAGATGACCATCTGAGTGTTCCACAAAGACGATATCATCAGTCATCAAGACATCAAAGCCAGAAATCTCACCAACTCACAGATGACCAAGATGATCACAATAAATCCGAACTTTGTTTTTAGTACTGTCATTTTGTTCATGACATACACACCATTCCTGGGTAGTCCTGTCTCTAATGTAGACAGTGACAACACATTGCAATCGTTATTTAATTCTAACAAGACAAACGTTGTTTCCAGGACAAAATGTTTGTATCCCGCACCCGGTAGGTGTATCAGCAG